TTTAAGTGTTTTTTTTCGGAGAGTTACTACGAAACTGCAACTGCCAGGTTACCACTTAATGCAAATTGCGATTTTTAAAAAATCCGTACCGAGCTGTACGTGGCATGTACTATATACTGTAGGGTGTCCCAGCAAACAAATGTCTGTTCGAATATACGCATAGCCTCTATTTTTTCCATTTGACTCTAACAACCCAAAAAATAAATATTATTGCAATCGGGAACGATAACTCATGCCTTTCGGTCAAACTTTTTCTTATTCGACAAATAAAACACCGCTTCATTTGTATCTTATATTTCTTAGATATATATCAATAAAAGAACAACTCATCAGCATCGTCTAGGATTCGCCTCAGGTTAGGACAACGATCTAAAGCATAGCAACTAACCTCTATCTGAGGAACAAGATCTATCGAAACAAGACGGTTTAAGGTGTCATCTATTGCCAGAATCCAAGTTTATGTTGGCTTATTTTAACAGTTAGCATATTATATCGATGCATTAGAAGAAGACAGATGAATTTATTCGTCAGACTTGCCATAAAGTGGGCCAGATAGTTCTTCTTTCGATGTGATGTAGCGTTTACCGTGGGCTGATGGAATTTCTTTGGCTAAATTAGCAAAAATGTTTACTTTAGTTTCCTCATCTACGTCGTCATCAAACTGAGATATGACAAAGACCTCATCTGTCAAATACCATAAAGGTTGGCAGAACTTTTGTAAAGCTGCTTTTGAAATGGTTTTATTAACTCGTTCGTAAGCCTTCATTGCCTTTAAAAAGCATAAATCCTGGTATGTTGTCACGATGAATAGTCAGATATCTAACAGAGTTGCCTTATTCGTATTAGAAAGTTTGAGCATGAAATTTAGTATAATATGCTATTATTAATAAATACATTTTTCTTTGTATCTTCGCCAAAAACAGAAAAAATAAGACCGTGCTTTTCGTTTTATTTTATTACCTGTTAGGAGACCATTTTCTTGTGTCCGCGTTCAAGAGAATGTCCGTCCAAAAGAGAGTTAATACAATGCAAATTATATGAGAGTCGGTCGAGACCATGAGAAACTGTCCTTGTAAGAGAAGTATCCGCGCATCTGTTCAATTACTCACAAATACGAAATGTTTGAATTTGTTTAGAAGAACAAAAAGGTACCCCTTCGTGTTTCGCTTAAAAATAACAATTATCTTTTGGAATGGTTTTTTGATCCACGGCGGCAAGGTAAATTCGTGTATTTTGCTATAAAATGCCTTTTGTTTATAAGAAAAACCCCAACCCTTGGGTTTTCGCATAAAATAACATTTATTTTTCGTAATGGTTGGAGATTCATATCGGCAAGGTAAACGCGTGTATTTTGCTATAAAATGCACTTTGAACGAACCCTGTATATTGCTCAATAAACTAGTAGTGATGGCCGGAAGACAGGTGTTTTGAGATAAAAAAACTAGTAATTCTCAAAAACTACTCAGGCAATCTACTCTAATTTGGTTATTTGGAAGTTTGAAACCTACGGATTTGAAGAATTTCAAGTATTTGCGTGACATTATCGTCCCATTTCCAAAAAGTGCCAAAATCTGCAGTTGCCTAGGTTTTCGGCCATAACTTTTTTGCTATAAGTCGGATCTTTTTACTTGTGATTTCGTAAATACCTAAAAATCTTATTTGAAGAGGTTTTTTCGTTGCTGTCAACACTCACGATTGAATCACAAAAAACACATTTTCTCATTTTTTGTTGTCGAATAAAACGTTTTCCGACAAAAATTGATGTACCCATTTTATGCGTCCATGTTTTGAATACCCTCTTGAACAACTTGCATCAATAAAATCAAACTTTACAATTATTTCGGGAACATTTGCCAATATGATTAGACTTAAAGTTATGCATACTTAAAATTGTACATTCTTTACATTTGCCAAAGATAAGGGTTTCGATTTAAGAAAACTATTTTTACCTTATAACCTCAAACTTTACTTTGTTCTACACCATTTTTCCTGTAAATGATATTATTCCAGATATTTTGATTTTGGAGTATAACTATTTTTCAATGTTTCAGTTCGTGACATTGAGCAACAGTGATGAGAGGACGAGGTTAGTGCCAGTACTGAATACCATTCTGAAACTGAGTCCTGATGAAACTAGGCAGTTGACAACTGTAGCTAAAGGAGAGCCCTCTGCCACCCTTAAGGGATGGACGAATCTTTTACCCACATGGTCATCATCTCCATCTAAACCCTGAAACGTTTTCGATTTTGCAGATGATTTTCCCTAATTCCTATACAAGCGATGAGCCATAAGTGAAAAAGCATGTTGGAAGACTACTAGCCCTAGTTTAATTCTTAGGTGATTAAAAAAAAGGTGAAACATTTCTAGAGCAAAAAGTACGTCGACAAATAATAATAGGAAACATTTCTATAAACATATGTTCTAAAATTACTCTATGCAGAAGTACAGGTTATTATTTTCTGTGTAATTTTTTCAATCACGTGCTTAAAAATCCTTGAATAAGAATTGGCAACTGTTTTTTCACTTAGGATGAGGCTGAGTTTTTAGTATGGGCTCGGTACATATAGCTGTTATTACGTAAGAAATATGAAAAGTTAAATACAAAAATTGTAGTCATCAGTATGCTTCTGATTTGGAAACTACTTTTATGATGATTCATAACTATGTGGTGATCCAGACATGCATTTTTTAAATGGAAAGTCAAACGTTTTATCGCAGATTTGAATAGGCTATTCGAAATGAAGCAATTTGATATAACATACTGTAGGGTTTTACTTATAAATTGTTGAGATATTGGACAATCTATCGAAAAAAGCACTCAAATTTGTCAACTCGTACGTCCGCAATTGATAGCAGTTATCAACTATAAATCTAGAGTAGTGAATTTATCGTCAGAAATATTTTATGATCCCATATTTTGTTGCAGTCTTACTTTTTGAGTTTTTTTGGATAGTTTATACAGGATTCAAGAAGGCAAAATGAACTATTGCTCAAAATTTTCAAATGGAACACCCTGCATATTTTCATATTTTTTCATTCCACTTTTCTCAAGATTTTTTCTGAGAAGGTTGTTGGGGTTTGGTTCTAGTTTTGGAATTACTAAAAACACAGGAACACATTCTTGACTTTATATCTTGATTGCACAAAACTGGGTAGATTTAATTCATCATGAATATACATCAATTCTAATGATTTGCCGTTACCACCAAATGCTATTTTCTTATTTTGAAATTTGTTTTAATATTTTCCATTTACTTTTATATCTGATTTACATAAAGGTTTGTTGTAGAGAAATATGAAAATATACAGGGTGTTCCATTTAAAATTTTCGAGAAATCGTTCATTTTGTTTTCTTGGCCACCCCGAGTAAACTTAAAAAAACTGAGAAAGTAAGTAGATATAGGATCATAAAATTTCACTGACTATACATTCAGTACCCTGGCTATGACGGTTACGGATGTTTTTTCGATACATTGTTCAATTCTTTCCATTAAAAAAAAAAAACCGTTTGGGTCGCCACGTACAGTCAAAATCACGAATGATGAGTATTACGTCATACCATAAATTGTACTGAAATAAACACTGGGCGTACGTCGATGATAAAGTCACGATGTCAGGGCCATATGACCGAAGTTCGGTTATTTGAGCGATTATTTGCCGGTTTCAAATAATTATCCGTACACATATTTACATTTTAAATATTTGCAGTAAAATTACATATTCATGTATTTTATAAAAACTAGCATTTCCTCGCGTATCTGTTTACAATAATTGTGTATTTTGAACCCATTTTTTGTTTGTCTAGTATTGTTGAATCCGTAAAATTTTTACCAAAATTATAACAATATATGGCTATCAGCTTCAGTATAGTGACCAATTGATTCTGAGAAGATGATTTTATTTTAGTGAATCTGAAAAAACATTACAAACATAAAAATGAAAATATTTTTCAATTTTGCACTATTTCATGTCATGCATCCACAGTGTTTATTTCAACATACAGTACAAAATTATACAAAATACATTTCATCAAATAAACTGAACAATTTCATTTACAAAGATTTCATTACGTTACTTATAGTCAAATTCAGATTGAAATTAATCGCTTCTGTCACATTCAGTATCGCTATTTGAATCAAATGAGATTATCACTGGTTCTATTTCATGAGTAACAGTTTTCTTGTACCAATCTGAAATTACCTCACGAGTATGTTTCACACATTTTTTCCAAACTTCTGGTGTAAGTTGTGACAGAGGTTCATTCCACATAGCTAAAACATTTTCATCACTATGACCACATCTTCCAATATGTGGTATGGGGGGGTACGAAGAACTTCATGTCCATAACTTCTTATGATTTCTTCTATTGATATTTCTTTTCTTTACGATTTCTTTTCACTATATTCAGTAACTCTACTTTAGTTAATGTTGATTGAAACTCAATTTTATTTTAACCAGCCAGTCACTGATCTCTTTTTTTGAAGAACTTGTGTTTGGAATCTTTTCTAATAAAATGATGTGGTAGGGTGCATTATCCATAATTATTACTGATGGCTCTGCAGAGGAGTTATTCTTTCAACCATTTAATGAATCTCTCGCCGTTCATATCACCATGGTAATCTGCATATTTAGACTGTGAGGAAAATAACAGGCTTGCTCCATCAACAAATCCCTTTTCGCTTCCTGCATGGACCACAATAAATCGCTTCCTTAAAAGCCCAATGGTTTCCTTACACTTTTTATTGACTCATCTTGCCAAGACATTTTGGGATTGCCTTTTGAAAATACCCATGTTTCATCCATGAAAACAATTTGATGTGAGGAAGTGCTTACATAGTCATTATAATTTCTCAAAAATTTGGTGCGAAGTAAAGCAATACTGGATTGTTCAACTAGAAATCTTCTATCACCATCTTTTTTAAATTTAAAGCCTATGGTGGGCAGCACTCTTCGCAAAGAGCTATTGCTGATAGAAGCAAGCTCTTTCTCTCTAAGTGTTTCATTCAAATTTACTATTGTGACATGTTTTTCTGAAAAAAAATTTCAATAATTTGGAATCCACCATCTCATGCTTATCATCATTGCTTTCAGAATACATTTGATGCACTGTGTCTCTCATACTATGCTTAACTGCGTCAGATAAATCTGTAGTTTTAGATTTTTTTCTGGGTCTCTTCTTTCCAGGTGACCTTAATACATTATCATTAGATGACGATAAACGTCTTTGTATTCTTGTAATAGTGGACAAACTAATATTTAGTGCCCAAGCCACCCCCTAAAAAATATTATAGAATAAATTAGCGACCATATTTCTAATTATTACAAACCTCTTTAACAGCTGACAATGGTAATAGAGGCCCTCCATTATCCTTTTCTTGTTGAAAGTAATTCAACAAGGATAGCATCAAGCCCTACGATTGAGAGTTAAGAGTTTTGCCTTTCATAGCAAAAACTCGCAAACTAGAATTGAAAAGTCGTAAAAGATGGATTTATGTTGGGAATGATTTAGTTCCTACCTTAATAATAATTTTAGTGAGGTGTTTGTGTTTGAAAAACCAGGTATAAGAAGAACACACCTTAAGACAGGAACACCAAAGCCCAAAGTAATTTTCGAAAATAAACTAACCTGATCTAACATAATCTGACTTTTCATCTGTCAAATGTGATCGATCATGCAACATGAAAACATCGTCTATCTATGTCGGATACATGCATATTAGTAACACTGTTCGTTTAGACAATAAAATTATGTTTGTCTCTGTGTACCATACCTAAAGCTTCATTAAAAATATTGACAAATCACTGTCGTTTGTCTTTACTAGAGAGTAAAATGATGACGTAATCGTCATCTTTCGTGATTTCGACTTTAGTTATGCATCACCCTTTAGGTACCATGTGTAATAACGATGTTATCGGCCGAGCCGACACTATAAATTCACCCTGTATATTGATACTTAAATGTAAATAATTTCATGTGTTAATAATCATGTTATGAAATACTATTGACGTTTCCATTATTTGTACAAAAATTATAAATTTTATTAACAATATGTATTATGAAATGTATTATATATTTTTATTAGTCTAGTTATAGGCTAATAAAATATTCCAACAAAAAAAAATGTCCAGAACTTTTTGAGTTTTATTTTCTTCAAATCCATACAAGACATTTCCTTTCATATCCTATCTTTTCCTTGTAAAGATGCTTCTAGAAAATATATCAAGTACTCGCAGGTTCACTCGGCACACTTCAGAACCTATAAATGATATAATAAATTTAGGGCTGTCCACCAAACTCTTGTAAATAATAATATTTATTTACTCTTGAAACAATACTAAGAATGAGTAAATAAATATGAAGTAACGGCCCTTAGGAGGCATTTCCTGTACATGGACCATAGATGTTGCAACTGTATTATTGAAATATGAATAGAGATATAACTAATCAACGAATTATTTGATCACATTTACTATTATACGTCTTGTCTTGCCAAGGAAAAGATCCATTCTTTTAACTGTTTCTTGAACTTATTCCCAAAGCTTAGATCCTTTATATCATCTGGTAAATGTATATATAATTTTGGACCTAAATAAAGGTATGATGTTGCGTTACAGATTTATTTGGTCTAGGTACAACTGTTCCTCTTAGTGTATGCCTTGTGTGGTGATTATGTTTAATTTTTTGGTCCTTATATATACATGTGTATCTTTATATAAGACATCAGTTGGATATAATTTTGGTTTGTTGAACATTGTTTTTAAAATCATTTTTTGAAAAATATCAAAATCATGAATATGAGTCTGAGCATGCTAAAATACCGTAGGTTATATGCGGCTCGGTCAGATATGGTATAAGGTATTTTTCTTTTAAAATGTTTTTGATATATATTTAATTTTATACGATACATATCTAACTTTTTTTAAATATATGAAATATGAACATCCCAACGCAAGTGTGGATCCAGGAAGATATTTTATATCTGATGTTCTTCTAATTTCTGATTACTTTCGATAAATGAGATATTTATGTGATTTGGTAGATGTCTGGATTAGGAAGAAAATGATAAAAAAATTGTTTGAGTCGCTAATGCTCAATTTTTCTGTTATTAAGGCACTGTATAATTTTGACAAAATCATTTTCAACTATACTTTTCAAATTAAACCAATTATCACCTTTATAAAAGACTGATGTGTCATCTGTGAAACTTACTATTTTGCCAACACAGTCAATTTGACATATATCATTTAAGTATATATTAAAAAGCAGTGGACCTAAAACGGTTTCTCGTGTGCCACATTTGATTAACATTTCATTACTGAAAAATTTTGATACTTTAATGGATTGCTGTCTGTTAAATAAGTAATTTTCTAGCAATGAGTATATCTTTCCCCGGAAGCCAACTCTCTCCAACGTGTCTAACAATAATTAATGGTTTACTGTGTCAAAAGCTTTTCTTAGATCAACAAAAACAGAAAGAAGGAATTCTGTTATCAAGATTTTGGTGTATTTGATTAAAAACGTCTAATATTGCGTCTGAAGTAGAGTTTTCTTCCGTAAATACATATTGGTTTTCACATAAAATTTGATATTTAGTGAGAAACTGAAGCATTCTAGCAGATATTATTTTTTCAAATATTTTTTGCGATATTAGAAATCACTGGTGTAGGTCTATAGTTGTTAATATCTGTCCGATCTCCTGATTTATATATTGGTGTTACAATACTTTTTCCAAAACGGAGGGGTATATACCAGATTCATAACATAGATTAATTATTAATAATTTCTATGGTTCTGCTATATCCTCGCTTATAATTTCCAGATGCTCATTTTTAATACCGTCAAATCCTGGGCTTTTGCGATTTTTCAGGGTCTTAATTGTAGGACTTAATTCACGTGGTTCTACTGCGTCTAAAATAAACGAATTTAGCGATATTTTAGGAACATATGTTAAGGATATATCTTTTGGCAACTGATTTGCTAACTCTTCACCTATATTGGAAAAAAATGTTATAAATTCATTGCATATTTTTTTGGTAACCTTTATAATTTCTCTCGTCTCTGTTTTTAATTCAATAATAGATTGTTTAGATTGACTATTTGTATTTTCAGTAATCTCGTTCATAGTAGACCAGAGTCCTCTGCTATCATTTTTACTATTATCTAATTTTTGTAAAAAGTGCTCTGGTTTTGTCTCCCTAGTAAGCGCTCTATAAATTGATTTTTATATTAATTGTAACGTTCGACGTTCTCTTTTATTGGCGCTAATTTCATTACCTTGTAAAGGCTACCCTTCTCATTTGACGATTTTATTAGTCAGTTAGTAATCCAGGAACTTCTACCCCGCTGTTTGCGTATAATTTTACTTTGCTGATACTGATGTCTATCAATATTTCAATTTTCTCTAAGATATGTCCGTAGCTTCATCTGCATTGCTACTAACATATAATTGTTCCCATGTTTCCTTTTTTATACCGTCTTGTGTTGGACATTAATTTTGAAGTCGCTTGAACAGATTATAGCTCATCTTCTGCACGTAACACAAGCCCTGAAGGCCGTCTTTCCACTATCTGTAACAGGACCGTAAATGTCTAAAGATAAAAGGCGGCCATCATTTTTAAAAATTCTGGAACGCTTGTTGGATAAAAGATATCTGCAAAAAACGTGAATTTCATCAAGCCCTGATTGACGGATATACAGATTGGCCTTGTTGCAAGAAACATCCCTGAAACTGGGCGCTAGATTTGTCGTCCCACATTTTGATGTCATTCAAGCAGACACGTTGAATGGAAGGGTCCTACTTGTGCGACGCGGTATTGACTAGCACAGAAGCATCAATGTCAAGATGCAGAGCATCTCTCCACAGAGGAACCGACACACCATCCATACAACAGTCTGTTAACACCGTTCGTGATTGATTTTGCTATATCCAGAAACTGCAACTTCAGTGTTACTCCTCGAGCTCGGTATGACATTTAGAGTGACTAGTTTTCAGTCATTTTGGAGGTAGCAACCGGACAAATCATGAAGAATATGCTCCATCAAACTGAATTGACTGGGAACTCTATGAGTCTATACTTGCGATATTTCCCAAAATTCCGGTTGTAGGTACTGAGAGTGAACTAGATGCTGCTTTGTCGGAGTGGGCAAGGTTTGGGTAAGAGGCGCTTGCAAGAGCAGATCCCTTAAGAAGAAGGTACGCTGATATCAATAGGGAGAATACTGATATTCGCCAAAAGATCGGGGATAAAAAATCAGCCATTAAGATCGCTAAACGCACTCGTCGCCCTGAAGACAGAAAAACCACGAATCTTGTCGATAACGACCTTGATGAAAAGAACGCATTCAAAGATTCGTTAGAAGATAATTCAGAGCCAACGGTTGCACAAGTAGCAGTGTAGAACACCTAGAAGTTCCGCATTACAATCCTGCGGAACTTCACGGTCATATCAAAGACCTTAAGGTGCGCAACGCACCGGAAGAGGATCAAATCTCCAACAACGCACTGAAACTTTTGTCGCTAAGGGCTTTGACACATCTCCTAATGATAATTAATGCGATGCAATTTTCCAAGAGACTGGAATCGCCGAACAAGGCGGGACAAATTTTTCCACAGGCCTATCACCATTCTATTTAAAAAATAGCGTCAAGTCCATTGATAAATGCCTATACATTCTGTTACTATGTTCCTCTTATCAAAAATTTTGAATCTAATTCAGTTTCATAGTATGCAATGTTTCTAAATGCGTTGCAAAATAGATTAACACAAAATATTCGTTCGACAATTACATTTGTAATATAAAATCAACATCCTCGATGCCATCATCATCAAAATAATGTTTAATGAGTTGTGAGTAATATTAAGGTAAGGGCGATCGGATAAAAAATATGTATTACCGATACAGTCGAAGCGGGGATGGATCCATCTCCGGTCAGAGGGCTCCACAAATATCTCTTACCTTACGTTCGAAGAGGACGCAGACGAGGACATAGCCTGTAGGCCTCTTGTCCTGTTCTTATTTTCTTCTTATTTTGATGACATATTCCTCGGGTTTGGAATTTCGTTGGTAAGCTTCCCAGTAGGTACATATCTATATAGTTTTGTCTCGTTCCATTAATTGAGTTGTTGGGGTTGCGCATTCCTTCAACAAGCTCGAATGCTCCCCTTTTGGGTGCCTGTAGACAACTTCTACGGTGTTTGACGATTTTGGTGAATTATGTCAGTTGCATTAGCTATGCCTTCAGTGGCCATATATCGGTATTTATCGACGAGTACTCTCGGACTCTCGCTCTGTTCTGTTAATTACCTGGGTACTACTTTAAACTTGAATCAAACTACTTCTCGCTGACAATTCTCTTTAGAAATATTTGAAAAATAGGTTAAGTTGCGCCATCTAGGATCATGACTATCAACACATTAGTGTTCGGCGCTGTGTCACTCAAAGCAAAGTTTTTCATGTTTTTCCTCGAAAACGAGAATTAAGTTATGAAGAGATAACTTAGGCCCGTATCGTCAGTCGTCCCTACAATTGTAGGGCTCGTTTATGGCCTCCTTGATTGTCATACTCCTTTCTCTCCTTCAAAAATTTCTAGATTACACTTGTCCCGTGTCAGCGTCAGCGCTCTCCTATTGTGAAGATATGTTTTCTTTTTAAATTGTAGGAAATTTCAGGCTGATAAAACATGATATAACTCAAAAACAAGCACAATTTGATGCAAATAGATGTTTGTGACATAACCTCAAAATAGAGTTCTGACACGGAGAAGTAGAAAACTACAATAATTGTAGGGCGCGTTTATGGCCTCCTTGATTGTCATACTCCTTTCTTTCCTTCAAAAATTTCTAGATTACACTTGTCCCGTGTCAGCGTCAGCGCTCTCCTATTGTGAAGATATGTTTTCTTTTTAAATTTAAGGAAATTTCAGGCTGATTAAACATGATATAACTCAAAAGCAAGCACAATTTGATGCAAATAGATGTTTGTGACATAACACCTCAAAATAGAGTTCTGACAATCAAGGAGGCCATAAAGGCGCCTTACAATTGTAGGGTCGACTGACGATACGGGCCTAAGAGAGGAAAAAAATTCATCAGCTGCTTAATCCGCAAAAATTTACGTATACCCTACTTCACCAGTATCCATCACGGTTTTCTGTCTACTGAGGTGATCAGCTGATCAGCAAGTGACATTTTTGTGTTAGTCTGCAACGTTGGCAATAATGGATCGGGTATAAATCTAGTTAAACTTGTTTGTGGCGTGTTGTTTTTTTATGCAAATGAACTTTCCTTAATAAAAGAGCTGTTAGCAAGTACAAAATGAATCTGTAGCGTACAAAGCACCAATTACAAAATTCGGCTCTGTCTACCTGGCGTTGACGGATCCGCCAGAATTATGTGTCTTGTGCCGATTTGGGGAATCTTCAGATATTACTAAACTGAATCCAAATTCAAGATGAGATGTAAATAATAACAGTTAGCGCGTGATCTCTCGGTAACAGGTGGGGACAACGCCTCTTATTGGTCAATTCGCCATTAAATTTCAAGCGGTCGCCAGGCGGAATAATGCGCGGGGCAGGGGCAGAGCAGGGGCAGGGCAGGCAGAGTTGCACTCAGGCCACCGTCCGTCGCGTGTATCACTGCGTGCTCGTATTTTCGTATTCACCTTGCTTGGTTGTTGCTGTTGTTGTTGTTAAGTGTATTTAAGTAATTTGTTAAGTTTCTTTTTCTGTTAAATATTGTCATCTTTTGGCAATCACGCATCCATTCTATCTTGGGTGTAAACACACTATAGATAATCAGCTGTCATTCTACCGTGATGGATTCTCGTGAAAAAGGATACACTCGTATTTTTATAAAAAAAGCCATTGACGCAATTTTTTTTGTCAATATTTATTATCCCTGATACTGTGTCCCTCGAAACACCATGCACTGTCTTCTATTCGTTATTGTCCGTCAGAGCGGTCTGTGGGACCTTCGCTCTTTGTTAAAGTATCGTAGGTTAGTAGGTCGGTCAGGTGTTGGTTGCCCAGATACCAGACGAAGTCAGGACCGAAACACCACTGGAATTCATTATAATCTTTTAGTTTTTGTGCTAATAACTTGTCTTATTGCAATGAAAAACAGCGCCAAAATTCTACAAAATCCGCACAATAATCTTTGGAATATTAAAAAACATACAATACAAACATGAGTACATCCAAAAGTAACAAGCGGGTTTTAGCAGTATCACAATATGTGCTATAACATGCTTAGAAGTTGCAGAAAAGCGCCGACAGACAGAATGGCGTAAATGTCTGGGGTACGTTCAAGAGACGCATCAACTCAAATTAGAAAATTCTTGTTATTAGCAGCTCTATAGATGGCTATGTAGGTAATTTATGCTATACAATAAGATATTCTACTCGAAAATTTTAGTTTCTGGATTTTTTTCGTTATTTGAGTTTAGAAATTATGCGGCAATAAGGTAGCTTGTGGACTGACGCCTGCTGAATGCATAATACCTGTATTTTATTATCTACAAACTCTCGATCGTTACATTTTCGGACAAGTTATGTGTTTTGAGTGTAAATTATGTAACACATATCCAGTACTTTGAGAATTTTTCCAGGTTACCCCAAATAGAATCAAAATCTGCATCTTTGACTTTTAATTTCGTTCAAGAATACCTAAGTACCTTCATAAAAATACGTCTACGATCCACTAAACAGATAATATTACTATAAGATATAAGAAGACAGTCGAATTATACTTCAAAATTCGATACCAAATACTTTTAGACCACATCGTTTTTATTATCAGGTATACCCAAGTGTTAAACTTTCTAACTACAAATGCCTCTATCAATAATCTCATCCAGAAAAACCAAAATTGAACACGCTACATTTGAATTTCCCGCTCTGAAACAACCCCCGCAGGCTGCACCCTGAATTTTCTTAGCTCCCTATTGGCTGTAATTTTCCATCGTTTCCCCTATTTGCGTTCTATTTAATTTTTCTACGGAATGTGTAACTCAAGCTGCAAATCTGTAACGTGCAACATAACATCATGATAATTATCTTCTGTCTTAAAACAAAGAATGCAATTACATGACATCAAATATAAATAACCACCCGGTAAATCAATAGTCGGCATCCCCTCCAAACACCTCTCCTGCAGTTTCCGCTAACTTGCGCATAAACGTCGACGTCGATTTGACCGTTCTCTGGCAGTGCTTTTGGGCAGGTAAGTTCAGCCTCTAAATTTTCTACATTATTCTTATTAAGATGAGTTTTTTATACATGTATAACGCATTATCCGATCAATTAACTAATCGTGAATCGTGTAACCGTATTTTTTACATACTTTTATTATATTTTGACGTTTATGATGAATTTGATTGCCGGCTACCGGCTTTCTTCTTTTTCTATCCACATTTCTTTGTATCGTGAGTGGGTAAACTATCTGTAGAATATGCAATAGATTTGAGAATTTGCTCTCAATGAAATTTGAAAAATATAAAAATTAAGATTTTTAATATTTCCGCCTAGAGATAAAGCGTCCCAGCTGACGCAATTTCTTGATGAAAGGGCTGGACTCGCCGGGTAATTTTCCCCGGTGAAATACGCCATTGATGCGGTGATAAATCTCTCGAATACAAAATTCAAACAGTTTAATCGATAAAATGCCGGTGAGAGAGCAACAAACTTGTAGACATTTATTTTTAGGCGTGTGAACTCCGGTGTTGCATCACAACATGGCTCCTCGGGAATAATTTTATTTATGCTCCCAGCGTGAGTGAAAATACGTCGCTTGAATCATGCAGATTGTGCAGCGGGACGCATGTAATTGATCATGAATCACTGTTGAAAATGTTGGTCATCTAACAATAACTGCGGATAGAGGATATCTGCCGAGCTTTGTGCAGAAGCAGAATTTACGAATTTTCGCAGCGGCGCTGGGCGTTCAAGCACAGTGCCGGCGCTCAATCGATTTTCTGAAGGACAAATGGTCGGATTGGTTCACAGGGTTCATCCTAGTAGTCCAGTGAAAAGGGGATGGTTTTAAGAAAAAAGGGTGTGGAGCACCGCGTTCTGCCGTTCGTCAGTAATCTTTTGTTGCAAGCTGGATGAAATTTAGTCAAAATAGATGAAGTATCGACACTAGGTTACATTATATCATAACCTCGAGTCTGGTTTTATCGAATTTTTATTCCTAAAAACTGTTCAATCATACTTTGTGGGGCCTAAGAAACGATTGAGGTTCGGATGATCTCGAAATTTGCAGTTTTTCTAATTTCTTCGATTTTGTGCATGCTATTGTCTTGACTATGAAATGTTGGCACAAAACATCTTACATGCTATTTTAGGGCCATATTTGTTGCTCTGTGATTGACATTGTCGTAAGAAGTGTAAAGAGGTCCGACAAAAAGTGTATAGTTAGAGGTAGGTACGACAATCTATGATGTTTTTGGCATTAGAGTGGTAGGTTTAAATGTTTACCGTAAATGTCGAGAAAGAAAATATGAAATTATGCTTACATATAAGCGTTTCCATGCATAGCAGCTGTCTTAATTCTAGAATTTCCTCCCGAGTCGCGGCTCGGCGCTAGTACATTTGAAGTTATGTGGGGCTGTGGAGCTCGAAGTTTTATGGTATTTTTCACGAGTATCCATTATACGTTTTGACGTCTACTGATGTGAACAGCTCATCGCAAAAGCGACCTCTTTGTATTAGTCTGTAACATTGGCAATAATGAATTTTAGGGCCGTTTTCAGAGCTGCTGTTCACATATCTGGATTATACCTTTAAGTGACGAAAGTGTGACAATAAAATGAACGAAGCCCAGATATAAAAATGTTTATTGGAAAATTATTATACTCTGGGATTTATTGATTCCGATGTAAGTTAATGGAACATGCTGGATTGTCCTTTCCAGAAGCTGTAATTTCACCCGTAAAAATAATATAGACACGTGTTTCTGGTTTATTGTCCGTCATCAGTGTAACGTAATTCAAATACAGGTTAAGTATTTGCAGAACCTATCATGAAAATTAATAATATAGTTGTACGTTTTACTTACATTTTTCTAATCTCTAACTTGTTAGAATTACCCGAGTAATGTTCAGACCTAATTCAGGGAATCGAACCTCTATCAATTTGGTCATATACTGACACACATTCTGAATAAACTGAATGACTGTTTCATTGCCCTTTAAAATCATATGGTGTTTCAAGCTCTAAAAAGTAGAGATGATTAACATAATCACAATCTGCTTATTTTATTTTATTTCTACCTGCTTTCAAATGTAGTAATCATGATCATTAGTAGCCATTTTGCTTAGCGTTTTCTATATGCGAAAGATCTTTTCTAAATAAAAGAATTGTTAACAAGTACCAAATTGATCTGTCAGTATGGGGAGTTTTGAAATATCACTAGATAATCAGTTGTTGTCCTACCGTGACAGGGTTACCAGGCGTGGCAATTCTTCGCTTTGACGGCTTCAAATGGCGACTAAAATGGACAGCTTGGCGATTGGCTACTTTAGAGGCGCCCAGTTTCCATGAAAATGGCGATATCTGTTGATTTTTAACATTTCTGATGGCACTTAATTTGTGTGTGTGTGTGTGTGTGTGTGTGTGTGAGAGAGAGAGAGAGAGAGAGAGAGAGAGAGGGGGGCGTCCCCAAACTTCCGTTTTGTACAATTTCCCAGGTTCTCAGTTTCTGTGAGTATAAAGAATATTTTTTGGAGAACTAATTAATTAAAAAAATCCTGATTTCGTTATATGACGCATTCAACCTTATTCTGCCCTTTTTACGTCAAAGTTGGACGTCGGCCGGTCCAGTTTTAAATTCTATCGGTTTGGTTACCGAGTAAAAAAAATTAAGAAAAAATGCGAATAAAAAATGATGAATGATGATAGAGAGGGGAACAAATATAACTATTAGAAAACAAGACGTCTCTGTATTGCTTTAGATGGGGGCATAGTGCTTGCCCTAATTTGCTCGACTGTGTGTAGTCCACCGATTCGCACAACAAAGGGTTTCAGTGATATAATGATATAATCTTCACGCAGATTAGCGAGAAAGTCAATTTTGAAATTCCTACGGATTTTGAAAATCGGAATAATGAGCAAAAAATCGAAACACTTTAGAATATCGCCAACTTTGGCTCATTGATATTGAATAGTTGAAGTATCTGATGGTTCTTGGGTGTCAACAAAAAATTTGGTGAGGTGAGATTATTGAACAATCTCTAACGTTTTTTGACGTTTTCAACTATCTGGGCACTTTAATAATTTTTGAAAAGAGGTAGTTCTCATTTCAATCAGCATTAACGGAAATTACGGCGACGAGCACCAACCAAGAGAATTCAAAACTACTCTTGAATCCATTTCAAGTGAGACCAGACACAACAACCAGCACGCGTCGCTGGCATGATGGTCGTAGACACAAGAACCGAGCAGGGTCGGACTCAAAACTATGGAAATATTAAGGTGATATTTCAGAACTAAATATTTGAAAAAGAGACATCATTAAATAATAACGCAACACAACTGTCACAGAGTCAATAGAGGTGATTGAAAGTTAAGGGGGGCACAAAAAGTAATTATACATATGTGTTTGACAACATCAATATTTTTCACTTTCACTAGAAGAGCTGTCATCATAGATGTTGATAATTAGCGGTTCAATATGCCTTTCAATTATGTTGTCTAGCTCCCACATTGCAACCTCCACTTTCTCCTGAACATGCTTCACACATTTTAACCATTTTTCTGGTGTGATTCTCTGCAACGCAAGGTTGAACAGCTCTTTCATGTCGGAAAACTTGAATGTTGTGTTGTGTTAAGCAACAAAATTCTTTATATCTGCCCATATGAGCTCAATGGGGTTGAGCTCACAGTGGTAAGGAGGCAAACGAAGTACCATTTTATTGTGCGCTTTTGCCATCTCGTCCACTATATATTTATCATATTTTGCTCTGTGTTGTTTCACAAGATCTAGAAGTTGTAATTTCAACATAAACGTATCATAAGGTATATTTTTTGCACGTAGCCAGTCCTGTATCTCTGATTTCTTAAAAGATGAATTTGGAATTTTTTCTAATTTCCGAGAATGATACGGAGCATTATCCAGGAACACCACAGAATTGTCTTTAAGACGTGGTAAAATGCCTAAAAACCAGTTTTCGAATGCTTCACCATTCATCTCTTCGTGGTAGTCAGTGTTTTTTTTTATTCAAAACACCATAGTCCTTCTTTCAGGAAGCCATCTACACTCCCGTAGTGGCAAATAATGAGCCTTTTTCCTTTGCCTATAAAGATAAAACTTGTTAAATACGGATGTACATTATATGTCTTTCACAAGAGTACTGAGGCCACGGAGATAGGGACACATTTCTGTATTTTATATACGATGCTGTATTGTTTCTCATGATAGCGGGATGCATGCGGTGAGATATATCGGACACTTCAACCAATGCATCATTTAATCTGTTGATGAATCTGGTTAGCTTAAAAAACAAAAAGAAACAGGCAACATCAATTAAACTAAAAAATTATCAAGTGTGACAAACTTATCGAAAAATTTAGAAATCAACGCAATGTCTGACGTTGTTAATTAACGTGTTACATTCCGTGACGGACGAGGTATGTTGTCTCTGCAACGCTCGCATTGCTGTAAAAAATCTTGTCATCGATACCACAAGAATTCCAACGTAGAATACATTGATTACCAGAGTGAACATCCCCTCGTTTTTTCTAGATATCTGATAACGTGTAATGTCTCATTTAAATCACTTTGGTTATGAAAAATTATCTAATAACTATTGTTGGATTTTCTAAAATGGAATGTCTGCATTACCTGTAAGGTTTTTAAGCCCAGTTGAAAGCCCATCTAAAAACGCTCTTCTTGCTGACGTTACTGTTTGGTCCACCCAAACTTTTGATTTTGTATGGCCAGCATTTATCCACGTCCCATCCATGAAGTAAATTCTACGGTTTTGGCTCCTGTATGTTTTTATTTTTGTCAAATACTCTCTCCTCCATAGTATAATTTCATCTCTATCCATCAATGAACTGTTTCGGCCTATCTTCTGCCAATTGAAGTTGAGTTCCTTTAATAGCCTCTAGAACGTCGTTTTACTAAAATTCGACAAATCTCTGAGTCTTCATTCACTACTTTCAAAATCTTATCAATTGTAGGAATTTCATTCTGGAAACCTTCCTTCTGATCGCATGTCTGCCAGCATCATCTATTTCTTTAATTTGGCTTTTACGGTTCTGATTCGTTTTAGGTTCAGCAAATGCATTCCGTAATTTATATTCTTTGAGTAGGTACTCTAAATACCGATGCACGAGAAACTCCAACTTTATTCGCCACCCTCTGCACAACATCGTTGACGCTGAGCCAGGTTTTTCCTCCATTTCACATTTGTAAACATTTAAAATAATTTCTTTCACTTCGATGCTCAAATGGTTTTGTCTTGATCGTTTCCTGGGTGGACTCAATGTAGTTCTCCCTTCATCAGCTGTGTCGGTAGAAGACATGGTCAAAAAACACCAGATATAACAGAACTTATAACAGCGATGCACTCGACGCCACGCCATGGCCTGATTACAACTCTGGTTTTTGTAGACATCAACGCGGCGCAACGGCGGGTTTTGTATTGCTACAGTCTAACTAGGTCTTAAAAAATGTTCGAAACTGCATGTTTTCCAAATTCATGGAGTTTTATATTGGAGCCACTTCAGGACATTGTATTTAACAAAAGCATCAATATGAGGGGCGGCAAGTTTAAAAAAAGAAAAATAAAAGCTTCGAAATGAAACTATTAGTTGAAAAAGCAAGCGCTTCAAACTACAACTTCAAACCGTAAAATGCCTGAACTCTAATGAGACCCTCTGCGGGAACATCGATCACGCGCTGATCACGCTTCGAGTTTGCGATGTTGTGGTCTCACTTGGGCTGAATTTTAGTATAAGTATCATGCTGAAAATATAAAGGTGGTGTCAGAAGTCCAGCATTTGTTTGTTGAAGATTTATTTAGCATTAATGCTACAATATCAATTTTGTATAATTATTCCTTTCCACATTTTTTTGAATCTTCTGTAATTTTACATTCTTGTCTATTAAAATTACATCACTATTCATTTTGAGTATTCACAAAGTGATTTTTTAATTTCACCTTATACATTTTTAAATTCAAACAATGTTTAATATCATTATTCAAGTTAATACATTCAAATACACGCTTTTGATATACAGATTTTCTAGTTATGCTACTATTACAATTTTGCAGATGAAAATCTATGCCTCTAATTTCGTAGTCATGATAATAACTATTTAATTTTGTGGAGTTTTATAAATGTGATGGTAATGAAAAATTTCTTAATTTGAATACGAAAATCAGAATTAAATAACATTAATTTTTTTACATTCAACCACTGTTCTTCTAACATAGACTGATGCCAGCAGTTTGGTCACAACCAAATGAACTTCACGGGAGAGCCGCGCTGCGTCAGGTGCACAGCGGGCTCTCTTACCATATTTAGATTTCAATTGTGAGATAGCTTTTCTTAGATTGTTTGTTTATTGTCCTAAATTGATTCATTGATGAATTATGATATACTTGTAATAAACATAAGTTATCAATCGTCTTTACTATTTGATATATAATGTTTATAAAATAAGTGTTCATTCTTTTTCCTATAATCATTTTTTCTGTCACTACCTCATCTTAGAAACGCATTTTAGATAATTCAGCCTTTCTATTTGGAGATATGCTTTAATGTTTTCCACATCATTTTGGAATTACATTTATTGCTATCGATTTTATTATCATATTTTTTCTTTTAACTCTAAGAACTACTACACACTCATTTCTTGATTTTGTATACTACTGTTTCCAATCATTTTCACTTTGAGTTATTAAAAATGATACGATACTTTTAATAGTGAGCCTACACATATCTACTACATGTGCATACGGAAACAATTTCACCACGAATTTCATATATGTTCAGCAACAAACTAATTTAGAATTTCCTGACCACCATAGAATCAATGCATGAATAGTACCGATTCAATATACGCGACTCATTTGTTTGCTCTAATTTGTGTAAAAATTGCATTTATCAATGTGTCTCTGTATGGGACGAATTTACTAGCTGCATATACAGAGGAAATCATTCACTTCCAGGTGACAATTATCGAAAATGGGGGAGCATTCGGAAACGGACGATTCGTACGAAAATTGCATCGGGAAGTTACTTGTGAGATTGATTATTACATCGCTTCGCTGCATTTATTTAATTTCCTTTATTGTAACGCAACAGAAACGTCATGTTCTTAGGAACACCTAGTCATTCATAGTCTGTCAATAAAACTTTGTTGCAGCATCGATTGTGTCAAGGTTGTGAAGCCCGTGATCCGGTTTGAAAAATGGGTAAAGAGAAAACTCACATCAACATCGTGGTAATCGGCCACGTGGATAGTGGCAAGTCTACATCGACAGGTCACTTGATCTACAAATGTGGCGGCATCGATAAGCGTACCATCGAGAAGTTCGAAAAGGAGGCGCAGGAAATGGGAAAAGGATCATTCAAATATGCATGGGTTTGTATTTTTACTATTTAATCGACACATCAAATAAACATCCCCTCATTATACATAGTGCCCCAGAAAGTGATACCATTCTCTAGAATGTACATCGAATTCCCATAAAGTTAAAAATTGTTCGTCAAAAATCGAAAACTGGATAGAGTGATCCGAAAATTTATATCCTGGGGTCTGATCCGTCATCAGCGTTTCTGTCTTCAAAATCGCACTAGTATACTCGATCCAGTATGGTAGATCTAATGCCAGGAGTCGCAAAAAATGTACGAAAGATAAAAGGTACGCATAAGAACTGCTCTGACGATTATTGTAGTATTCGTGTGTGTTTTCATGGCGTTGAATTGTTTATAAACAGGAGTTCTGCAACATTAGTCCGCACCGCTGATGCTGGACTTGACGAAGTTTTAACTGTCTACCGTTGCCGTTCCCGATTCAACCAATGATAGGGTGCCTGCAAATCATGTGTTACAACAGATAAGCTGGTTTTTCCACTTGCTTTTGTAATCGGCGTGGCTATATATTTTATTTAAATAATAAATAATATGAATTATCAGGAGATGTGTGTTACAAGTAATGAAGACATTACAGACAAGTTTGGTCTTCAAATATGTGAAAAAGCATTCAATTTTGTTTTTTTATGTGCCACGGTCCGTAACGATAGTAAGTTTAAAAACTGATTTTTTCTGCGCGCGGCAACGTCAAAGTTTATAAATCGACCTAAAGTGGAAATTTGAAGATGTCGGCTGGCGGTGGGTCATGTGTTACCTCATTTTACAGCTCTTTACTAGTACCTTATAACATAACCCTAGAATATAAAATCACTATCCTTCAAAATGATGGACTGATACTCCGTCAAATTTGAGCAATTTTGCATATTGAATTGCCTGTAACTCCAGTCATCAAAACGGTATAGCAGTATAACAATCTTCTTCTCTTTTCTATCTGAATATTTAATAAACTATGACAAATTCCCTTTGAAACAATTGTTAAATCCGATTATTTTTGTAATCGATTGTTTCCTATTATGTTAATATACGACCAGATGCACTATAACGTTTTGATGATTATTTGTTGAGTTATAATAAGCGATTTAACGTACAAAAACGACCAACTTTGGCAGTTCGCCTGTGTGCCATTTTGAAAGATATACAGGGTGTTTCAGAAAGACGTGCCAATATTTATAGGGTAGAATGTACATCCAAAAATAACAAAACAAGTTCCTATAAATGTGGGTCCAAGGATGCTCCCCTACCGAGATAGAGGGTAATGAAGTTTTACTTACAAAATACAGAATTAAGCTTTATTTACAAAATAAAAAATAGATCTACTTAGCGGGCAGTGGCGGATTTAAGTAATGGCAAAATGGACATTGCCGCCTGGGCCCCCCAAGGAAGGGTGGTCACAGGGCCACCTCGGCAAAATCAGCTCTAGTGACTATATTGTTCACCGGGTCTGATTGTAAAATTAATAACAAGAAATCAGAGTTCTTTTAATGACCATCTGCGTAATGTTTATGAAACAGCACATTAGCATTCAGTTTGAATAAGAAAATGTCTCTTTCATTTCTTAAGAAATTATTTGAAAAATGACTATTTCGTTTCTAAAAAAATGACCCTTTTATTTCTCAAGGAGTGGAGGGGTTATTTTTTCATTTTGTGCTTTCAGTGATATATTATTACCTGGCATATAATGTTCAGTAAATAAATATCTTCGTGGTATGAAAAAGCCTCTTTCAGTCTAATAAGCCTCTAATGCGTCTATTACAGTCTTTTCACGTCTTCAATGCTTGTAACCATAAACTTTCACAATACTGTGCATATTTTTTTTATTTGATGACATATCTATTTTCTTCATGATAAATAATATCGTGGAAGAAATTTGCTACTATGCTAAATTGTTGCTACTTTCACAACAAGGCGCTCTTTATCAATTTCCACTATTAAGTTTAATATTCTATGTTGTCCAAATTCACTGTAATTAAAGTTTTCTAGAGAGCTGCAGTTTATTCAGATTGTTTTTGACTTTTCCTATCGGTTCAGCTAGTGCTGAACGTGTCATGAGCTCTTTGAAAATTATTGAATAATACCGTCGAGCTTCTTTGGCTGAAGACACACTCAACAACTTCTCTATCCTCTATATCGAAAGATCATTAGCTAATACACTCAATTTGGATTCTGCGATGGACGTTTTTTCTGAACGAAAAGCAAGACGCGGATTCAAATTAGAATAATAATTCTGTTATTTTGCATTGAATAAAATGTTTGATCTCACAGTCTCTACTTGATTCAGGTTATATAAACATATAGTAAAAAACAGGTAACAGTGCGCAGCAGCTACTATTGTGCATATAATTGTAAGCTCCTGTTAATATGTGACATCCTTATTGCCAGCAAAATCTGTAGTTCGGACTCTATCTGAAAAGTTGAATTAGCTGTTATATTAGCACATTCAAGCAGCATCAGATTAACTTATGCATTAAATTACTATTAAAAAAACTTTTGCACTATCCATGAGCTTGTTTCGGTTACTTGTGCAGGTCTTTCTAAATTTTTTATTGAGTTGGCGTCATTAATTTGCAAATAACGCTAAATGTGAATATCACTTTCGCAAATAGTGCCCAGTATTCCTGTAGTAATGCACGTTATTTACCGTATTTTAGTGTTGTTCACCAGGTTTATATTCAATGAAACATTAATCTCGGCAAACATGACAACAACTATCGATCATATTTGTTTTATATTAGCATCCGTGATAACTTTTAAACTCTATTATGCACAAGAAGTTTGCTGGTGGATCATCAAGTTTAATTTACTTCAAAAAATTACGATGCGCATTATAACCTGTCCCGTGCCCGTGCGCACTATTAAATGCAAAAACCAGGCTGCTGTACGATTGCACTAACATGACATTACGCATAATATTTTGATATTAATTTCTGAGATATGCAACTTTCAACGTGCTCATTGCCGTATTTTATTTGACAATAATTGCAGTAATTTATGTTACTCGCAAAACAGATATAGTGCGCACTAATTGCCGTCTGTCCCCGATCACACCACTGGGCTCCCCCAGGGCATATTTTACTTAAATCCGCTACTGGTAGCGGGTAAACACAGTTTGCCGGCCCAAACTAAACCAGGGGCGTAGAAACTGGGGTACCTTGACCCTTTATAGGAAATGTTTTCTACATCACGGGCCTTTTTAGAGAAATTATAAAATACCAATTTTCCATATATTTTGCCTCTTACGGAATTTTCGTCAGATCACTCGTTTTGGAGATATTCAGGTGTGAATATTTGAGGCAAAAAAACCGTGAAGCTTGATATTGGAAACACTATACGCCATGTGAAGAAAGCTGTGGCATCTCATTGCAACATTAATTGAATATTATGCGCGACTTATCCTGTCAGTAGCGTATGCATGCCACTGGTTTGCATGGTATACTTCTCTTGGAATTACCCATGTTAGATTCTGCAGTTGGCTTAAAATTACAACTAGTAATTGCAGAACCAATCAATTTGACTTAATTTTTCATTATTTTACTTCGAAATTATTGGCCCTTTTTTCTCAAAATTCTGTAGCATTTCGGATTAAGTAAACTCAACAAAGATGATATCACAAATCGTAAGCAATCTCGGACACGAGGTATGAGAACGAAGTATTCAGAAGGCTTTCAAGACCAGAGGTGATCGCTTTCAATACGTTTAGGTTGGATTAAGTAGCATTTATTCAGCGTTATTTTTTGTTCCCAATGTTTTGTCCAGATAAATTTAGCAATAACCATGAAAGGTGTATCAATGATTGAGAATAAGACACGCATTTTATTCAATTAATGATGTAATGAGATGCCATAGCTTCACATGCCATATAGGGTTTCCAATATCAAGCTTCGCGGTGTTGTCAGAATAGTGGAGGAGGCTAAAACTTTTCATAAGAATATTTTAGGATTCTACCTCAAATATTCAAACCTATCTCCAAAACGAGTGATCTGACGAAAATTCCTTAAGAGACAAAATGTGTGGAAAATTGAATGGTATTTTATAAAATGCATTTCTTTTCGCCGAAGAAAATATTTCCTTTTCGCGGTCCACGTACCCCAGTTTCTACGTCCCTGTTTTAGTTTGGTTAGTTAAACTGTGTGTTTATTATTGATGTGCTAACTGAACGTATGAAATCCTAACTTAGCATCTTTACCCGCTGCGTAGATCTATATTTTTTATTTTGTAAATAAAACTTGGACCCATATTTTTGGGATTTTTTTTGTTATCTGTTTATGTACTTTCTACCTTAGAAATATTTGCACGTCTTTCTGAAACACCCTGTATAATACTGATAAGGAGCTCCAAAATGAGCTATCGCATATAACCCACCGTTATATTTAAGAAAATGTGCACAGCTTGAATCTTGAAATTTACAACTGTTGTTTTTATGTGAAAATATACGAGTAGTATTCATGAATCAATTTCAACACGTCAACTGAATTTTCTGTAGCCAGTTTAATCGAAAGTAATATACCATTTAACTAATTTTTTCAGGTAATTCAGTTTATATAGAAAAGGTACATTTGGACGGCTTTTTGCAGATAGGAACCAACCCAGAAAAATCAATTATTGAGCAACAATTAGGCTCTAAAGTTTTGACAATGATAACAAATTCATTTCAGACCAAACACGATTTTAATTAATGGCAAACTAAAAGCTTTAAATATGTGTACGAATCTTTTTTACAGTAAATGGTATTGCTCGTACTAGTTTATTTTCCTAAAATCTAGATTTTTCATATTTAGTGGGTTGGTTCCTTTCTACAAAAAGACGTCCATTTAAAACAATTAAACATCCTAATAAACACAGTTAATCTGTTCAGTTGGATCGCGAACTCCATTTATACCGTTTATACCAAACGTGTGCTTAAAATTTTCCTTTATATTATATCTGAAAAGTTCCGGAACCTCACGATAATTTGTGAACATAATAGTATGAAAAACTAAGGCCCGCGATAGG